GTATATTCCACGCATCCGACATATTTTGGAATGAAAAAAGCCAAAAGGTTATCTTTGCGCTTCAAGTATAATCAAGTATATGACACTCAGAGACTGTAATTTGTAACTATGTTATGTTGTCAAATTGAATGTCATGCTACTGCACTGCATGAGAATCTTAATAATACTTTTAGGAATATCACATTAACATAAAACTGGTGTAGATAACATGGGTCTGATCCTAGGGTAAATATAGATATGCCAAAAAAGGGCACTACTATGGTGAGCACTATACCAGAGGCCGAGGGGTCGATTCTCTGCAGAAAATTTTGAAACTTAATGGGTGTTCCAGATTGGCTAAAAACTCATTTGCCATGATACAACATTTGTTGCAATATATAGTGTACACATGCATTTATACAATATTGCACTACTTTGGGTAATATTTTCCTGGAACTCTTTTCTGAGACCAAATGGTCCCATGTTCTGATATTTTTTCCACCCCTGGTCAATTGCTTAGTCTTAGTTTTCAAAAGTCATTCAAATTATACATAATTGCTAAATACAGTGAATATAGTTTAATACGGTTAGGTGGAAAATGCGGACATGCAAGTCAAGTGGAAAACGCTTTTTTTAGTTACAAAAACAAATATCGCCATGGGCCATGGCTTTATATGTTCTGCATGTAAAGAAGCTTGTTTTCTGCTGGCAGAATTGATGTCATATTTACATTCAGAAAGCTATATCTGCAGGTGTGATGTCATAATTACACAATCAAAACGGAGATTGTATAGGTGAAATAATGACTGAAGATTGATAATGGATTGTTGCGCGAACTTTTACTGTTTTCATATATTTTACTTACAGTATTGAAGATTCTGAAAAATCCACTCAGAATCTTTACAAAATACAAAACAATGGCAATTCAGAAAAGTTTTCATATATTCAAGTTTCAACTACATATGTTTTAATTGTCATCACGAATGATACTAGGTTATATTTTATAAGTGAGGAATCACAGAGTAATATACATACACATACGTATATATTATCAGGTCTTTTCCCTGCTTCAAGGTTAAGTTCTCAGTGCAAAATTGTAGCTGATCATGACTAACTTGTGATTGCCGATCAACACTAGGGGTACAGTTGATTGCACGCGCAGGTATAGTTTTGCAACTATTTATTTGTCGGGATCATTATTATGATATAGAATGCCCGTCCATTTTGACACTTTGCACCTCCTTTAATCCTTTGCGAACAGCGACAACTTGCTCATAATAGGTACTTGATAGAATTAATTGCTGATGGGTTTTGTAGATGGAAATTTCGAAAGTCATTTTTATGCATTTTTTATACTTAATTAAACAAATGAGTTAACTTTCAGTGCTATAAATATAACTCAAGTTATAATAAGTATTTAAGTTTTTTTGCTCTCCAATATCCCTCGCTTAAAGTGACAAAAAATTCGTTTTGGTATAGATATGTTTTCTGACCTTCGGCATATTTTGACCCACGACCTTTAGCCAAGCTCATTAATTAATCACCTATTGCGAGGAAAGATTAAAAAGAATTAAAGGAGGTGCGAAGTGTCAAAAAAAAAACACAACCTCAGAATTTCCCAAGAAATTGACATAGTTTTAAGGACAAAATATTTTAGGCGCCTGGGAATTTAAAATAGCACAACTGTCTAAATTATTGCACATGTGAGTGCATAAAGCAAAATTTATGCATTTATTTAATGCACAACAACAGTAATACAGTGTGTCCCAAAAAAAAAGGCTACCCTTTGAAGTCAAGCGCTAGTGCCGCATGTTCGAATTTGAATGCTTTAAACTCCCTAATGAGCCCTGGAATGCATAAAACGTTATACATGTTATATTCATGCATTCCATTCTGTGTTATTTTAGCAAATTTCAATTAATTTGCAATGCATGCATAAAAATGCTCTGCTATAACGTTTTACGCATTCCAGGGCTCATTAGGGAGTTAAAGCATTCAAATTCGAACATGCGGCACTAGCGCTTACTTCAAAGGTCCCGACGAATAAATAGTTGCAAAACTATACCTGCGCGTGCGATCAACTGCACCCCTAGTGTTGATCGGCAGTCACAAGTTAGTCATGATCAGCTACAATTTTGCACTGAGAACTTAACCTTGAAGGAGGGAAAAGACCTGATAATATACACGTATGTGTATGTATATCAAATTACTCTGTGATTCCTCACTTATAAAATATAACCTAGTATCATTCGTGATGACAATTAAAACATATGTAGTTGAAACTTGAATATATGAAAACGTTTCTTTTCTGAATTGCCGTTGTTTTGTATTTTGTAAAGATTCTGAGTGGATTTTTCAGAATCTTCAATACTGTAAGTAAAATATATGAAAACAGTCATTATTTCCTATACAATCTCCATTTTGATTGTGTAATTATGACATCACACCTGCAGATATAGCTTTCTGAATGTAAATATGACATCAATTCTGCCAGGAGAAAACGAGCTTCTTTACATGCAGAACATATAAAGAAAAACACAACCTCTGCATTGATAACTTTCAATATCATGTGAAAAATTATTATTGTCGTAATAGTTTTTTGAAGTTTAGTAAATTTCGTGTCCGCATGTCCGCGTTTTCCACCTGACTTGCGTGTCCGCATGTCTGCGTTTTCCACTTGACTTGCGTGTCCGCATGTCTGTGTGTCCGAGTTTTCCACCTAAACGTTTAATACTGCAGTGAATTCAAGCTGGAAATTAACTATATTCAATAGGCCTTTTTAATTTTGATTCGTGTTTTGAAATAAGAAGTCCTGTGACACATGATGTAGATTGCTGTAAATAAGACCCCATTTACACAGTACTGGACAAATTTGGAACCAGGCTGAAATTCCGTCCTTCTTCACGGAACTGGACAAATTTGAAATTCTCAAATTCGTCTGGTACCGTGTAAACAAGGTCTGGTTGGAATGTTTTTTGTAGATGAACAAGGCTAAAACTGTGAAAATCTTCGATAGTTGTAGTAGTAACCAACATCTTGTCCGGCACAAATCGATCACAACTAATTTTTCGGGTTAAATATTATTATTATTAATTGTAAATGTTGCAATTGTGTGGAATTTGTTAACAGCCATGATTTAGAACGTCTGCAAGGGAGACTACGATTAACATGTCAGCCGGAAAAAACATTAAGGTTTATAATTTCACGTATAGTATGCTGAAAACAATTTTAGGGCTATATTTCATGGGGGGAGGGAGGTCGTCAAATGTATGAGACAAATTACGACATTTGTAGGGGGGGGGTACGAAACAAACTACAGACCGGCTTTATATAATACAATATACTTTAAAAAAATCCAGTGTATGTTCCAAAATGTTCCTAATAAATTGCAATGTAGCACACTAGTGTTTATGACAGTGTCTCGATCGGAACATGTTAGTTTGACATATCTGCAATCTGAACAGTCTTGGATTACATTATTTTGTGGTCAGGTGGCTCCCCTGCTCGTTTACTTTTAGAATGATTTAAATATTGAGAAAGATATGAAATACGTCACAACGTTCTGTTGATAATTTACAGGAATACTCAAAACTACTACTCTTACCACCTTCTCAAAATTCGTATTTAATATATTGGATTAAATAAACAGTAACAATTTGTAACAGGTTATATTAACAGTTAAGGTGGTTCAATACAGTTTTTCAAAAAATGGAAAATTCACAATTCAGATGAGTATTTTCGGACAATTATTACTTGTTGAAAAGCAAAAAGTACCTTAATTATATAAAACAAAATCTAAAGAGTTTGAATTTTTGCACAAAATTCAGCAACTCTTGCTGAATGTTATTGCTAGAAGAAAAATGGAAGTACGCAAATAGCAAATTTCTGCGTACCTATGTGGTACTTGCCTAAAAACAAAGAAGTACCAGACCATAAATTTGGCGTACCTCTGGTATGTTGGTATGTGAATTATCCGCACCCTGGGCTGTAGTTGGCTGTAGTTGTCAATTTACCTGAAATAATTTTTAATTAACCATTTTAAGAAGCATTTAAGCTCTTGTGAGTCGAAATCACAAGTTAGCACACCTGACCCAAATGTTTTGTTCAGGTCTTCTAGAAATGGTGTAACTCCTCCAGATAGAGCTTTGGTAATTCTAAAGTAGCACACTCTAAAATAAATCAAAACTGTCATAAAAATAAAGCTTTTTAATATGATCTCACTTACTAGGGACACCATACCACTGATGCACCCTACCCACCAAGCTGGACCAAGCGAGGTAAAATTACATTTTAAATGTTACTGCACCTGAAACGCGAGTGCATACCTAATTTTAAGAATCTATCACTGCCCATTCATGTTGAATTTTTACAAGCGCGGAAGGCTGGTGCCTAATTAATGAATCGTCACTGGGAGGGGGGTGGGTTGATTGAGCAAAGAACATAACATTGATTATTTGAATGTGAATATAGATTTTGGTGGTGGATAGTTAGAAGTTAAAGTTCAGATCACCGAAACCCATTTTGTGCACTTCTCAGGCTGTCAAGTCAGACCAATGGTGAGGCTATCTAACAAGTACATAACAATACATAAAATAACACACCACTCTAAATCAGATTCATAACTAAATCTTGAAGTTTTCCAATTGTCGTAATTAGTTAGAACTTCCTTCAAATTATCAATTCATCAAAACAAATTTTATCACTGCACATTTTACTTTATGACTGCACAAAATTGTTTATCACTGCACACCAAAATTAGGTATGAGCGTTCATGGAACTGGGTGAAAATGGTGATGTTAGGTGAACAGGCAAATTTCCTTTTCAGCTTTTAATAGTATTTGACAAAGTCAAAGATTTGTTTCTAAATTTATTTGGGATTTATTGTAAAAACAACCCTGAGATTTAAAGGCCAAACCGTGAGATGAGCACTCAAACTGTGAGTCTTGTGGCCAAACCGTGAGAGTTACATGTAGGCCAACAACGTCCTCACGGCAGAATTTGTAAAAGCTTTCACAAACCATATGAAACCCATAACCCGACATTTAAATCACTTGCACAAAGACAGCCAGCGGGAACCCAGCAAAGAAGATGTTGTGGAAAGTTTGAAGTTTCTTTATCAAGAAAACGACGACTTAGATGGTCTGTTTGACGAAATGTTTCAAGTCGGGGGCGCACTTTTCGTCACTGCGGTGCAACATATTGTCGCGAGAACACTAATTCGTTTCCCTGAGGAATATGGGGAGTGCATACCTAATTTTAAGAATCTATCACTGCCCATTCATGTCGAATTTTTACAAGCGCGGAAGGCTGGTGCCTAATTAATGAATCGTCACTGGGAGGGGGTGGGTTGATTGAGCAAAGAACATAACATTGATTATTTGAATGTGAATATAGATTTTGGTGGTGGATAGTTAGAAGTTAAAGTTCGGATCACCAAAACCCATTTTGTGCACTTCTGAGGCTGTTAAGTCAGACCAATGGTGAGGCTATCTAACAAGTACATAACGATACATAAAATAACACACCACTCTAAATCAGATTCATAACTAAATCTTGAAGTTTTCCAATTGTCGTAATTAGTTAGAACTTCCTTCAAACTATCAATTCATCAAAACAAATTTTATCACTGCACATTTTACTTTATGACTGCACAAAATTGTTTATCACTGCACACCAAAATTAGGTATGAGCGTTCATGGAACTGGGTCAAAATGGTGATGTTAGGTGAACAGGCAAATTTCCTTTTCAGCTTTTAATAGTATTTGACAAAGTCAAAGATTTGTTTCTAAATTTATTTGGGATTTATTGTAAAAACAACCCTGAGATTTAAAGGCCAAACCGTGAGATGAGCACTCAAACTGTGAGTCTTATGGCCAAACCGTGAGAGTTACATGTAGGCCAACAACGTCCTCACGGCAGAATTTGTAAAAGCTTTCACAAACCATATGAAACCCATAACTCGACATTTAAATCACTTGCACAGAGACAGCCAGCGGGAACCCAGCAAAGAAGATGTTGTGGAAAGTTTGAAGTTTCTTTATCAAGAAAACGACGACTTAGATGGTCTGTTTGACGAAATGTTTCAAGTCGGGGGCGCACTTTTCGTCACTGCGGTGCAACATATTGTCGCGAGAACACTAATTCGTTTCCCTGAGGAATATGGGGAGTGCATACCTAATTTTAAGAATCTATCACTGCCCATTCATGTCGAATTTTTACAAGCGCGGAAGGCTGGTGCCTAATTAATGAATCGTCACTGGGAGGGGGTGGGTTGATTGAGCAAAGAACATAACATTGATTATTTGAATGTGAATATAGATTTTGGTGGTGGATAGTTAGAAGTTAAAGTTCGGATCACCGAAACCCATTTTGTGCACTTCTGAGGCCGTTAAGTCAGACCAATGGTGAGGCTATCTAACAAGTACATAACGATACATAAAATAACACACCACTCTAAATCAGATTCATAACTAAATCTTGAAGTTTTCCAATTGTCGTAATTAGTTAGAACTTCCTTCAAACTATCAATTCATCAAAACAAATTTTATCACTGCACATTTTACATTTTATCCCTGCACATTTTACTTTATGACTGCACAAAATTGTTTATCACTGCACACCAAAATTAGGTATGAGCGTTCATGGAACTGGGTGAAAATGGTGATGTTCAGTGAACACGCAAATTTCCTTTTCGGCTTTTAATAGTATTTGACAAAGTCAAAGATTTGTTTCTAAATTTATTCGGGATTTATTGTAAAAACAACCCTGAGATTTAAAGGCCAAACCGTGAGATGAGCACTCAAACTGTGAGTCTTATGACCAAACCGTGAGAGTTGCATGTCATGTTTTGAGATAACAAACAGGTGGGAAAATTGTCGTCACTGACCAAATTTATCGCGGCCGCTTTCTTTTTTGCCAGCAAAAATTGTGAAAAGAACAAAAACGCAGGTTTCGCTACCCTGTTTCTCATACTGCAGCAGAGAGAAAACAAAAGAAAGCTAGCAGACGTAAACGTTAATAAACGTTCATCAAGAACACAATTACTTGTCGCAATCGGAAAATTGGCAGTCAAGAATTCTTCGCTGAAACATGGCCGAAAATGACGTTTCTTGCAAAATGTGTGTTTTCTATGGCAAACAACCTCGAGCATGAACTTAATATCGATGGCATTTTTTTTAAATAAACGACATAAATGTACGAGTATTTATATGCGAACAAACACGCATGCAGCTTTGTTTATTTTGGACTGGGAATTCGGCACCACAATTTTAATACAATTCTGCAGCGACACACAAGTACTAGAGACCTTACGATTTTAGGACGGCTAGAAGTAAATATGGTAGTAAAGATAATTCGACGTATATTATCAATCGTATGAATTTAACTGTACAGTCTTAGAAGTTGAAGACATGGGTTTTATGTTTGGGAAGAATTATGCTGAACCCGGATTGAAGTTGCACTTGTTACGGCTCGAAAATGCAGCTGTTGTATCAAACAGAGTGAGGACAATGTCTAAATTATTCACATATTGTAATTATTCAATTCTTTCAATGAATTATTTTATCAGTAGCTGTTGCCGTAGCGTTGACGTCCTAAATCTTAAAGCCTTTTTTAATATCATATAATAAACCCAAGAAAACTACAAAGTGTAAATCGGCAAGTATAAGAAAAGTTACTAATTTTTAAAGATGCTGTCAAGTCCGTTCTGCACATCGGTTCTGCTCATAACAAAGGGGGACCGACAGATGTAAACATTGCCCAAATTTCGCATCTTTTGAACTTTTTCTGAATTGAAACTCTGGTTTATATTCATTTATGAGCATACTAAACCAGAACAGTGTTATATATTCAGTTAGTATATCATATTTTACAAATATAGCAGTTCGAAATGTAAACAAAGCATTTGTAATGTAAACAAAGCGTTTGTTTACATTACAGACTTGACAGCACCTTTAAAATGCATGCATCAGGAAAGTAGTCGTTGATAATTTTTATATACAATTTCAACTATATCTTATTAACCCGAATATGCTTTAGAGTTTAGGCTTATTACCACTTTTTAAAAATATAAAAATATCAGTTCTCCCTGGCTTTTCCCACACCCCTGGCAAATTTGACGAGGGGTCGACCTGGTTTCACTACTGAATCCTCGGGTTTCTGGCAGGCCTCGAATTTCCCTGAAATCAATTGACGGCAATGGCATTAAAAATTGCCGTAGAACGTAACAGTTGTCTATGGCAATTTTGACAGCATTTTTTAAAATTACTGTAGTAAACATTTAAGTTTAATGTTACTTTGGATTGTTGACAAGCTAGAAACATGTGTGTGTGTTTTTTTTTTCGAAGAAAACTGAGGCTAAGATAGTAATTTACACATTATTTGATCAACATCTGAATTAGAGTATCAAAATAGTAATGCACAGTGAATAGTATAAAAATTACACTATACGGCAAAAAATTGCTGTTGTTGCCACAATGATCTACAGCATTTTTCAGGATTTGCGAAGCAAAATCCTTTATGTCATCAGGTGTGTAAGACAGATAGATAGAAACACATTAATGACGTTGAGTTCCGAGTCGAATATTTGTGAACTGCCGGAAGGCTATTATCCGCCATTTGTGTTTGTCGATATTCGCAATCTTTTGGGCAAAGACTCCGCTCATTTTTGTAGAATACACCAACGACTAAACATTGTACCACTTACTTTCAGCTAAATGAATGAATATATGACTGTTTTGTGCTAGAAATACAAATGGAAAAGGTCCTAAAAGGCAAATTCATTCAACTCGGAAGCGACCGTATGAGATAAAATCAAAAGCGGTGTTTCCACTATAAAAACTGTATTGTTCCATTTTTCATTCGTATTCATTGGGTATTGCCTGTTGCGGAATGCGAAAACATCGAAATAATTTTTTTTTATCCAAACATTAAATTATAAAATATCTACAACATTTCTACAAATTCAGTTATTCTTTTATCTTTGAGGCAGTGATAAAGCCATTTAAAATTTGTAGTAGATTAACTTTGAATATAACAGTAACTAAACAAAGTTGACATTTGAAGAAAAGATTTGTCATGCATGATGTTGTGTTTTGTTATACTACATTCTGGGCGATATTTTTCCATCGTTCTTGCATTATGAACTGATATTTTTCAATCTTTCCTGCATAATAAAATTGACAACAAAATTGCAAATCCTTATGCACTCTTTGAGTACCTATTTTTATATGCAGCCTTTGCGATATAAAGGTCAAAGTAGACACATCATATTGATATCCCAACTACTCGTAAGTCAAAACAAATGACAAACCTTAGATCTGCAAATCATTTAGGAAGACGTGAAACGTCGTAACGACAGTCTTCTGATTGGAATATATAATAAATAGCATTAGACTTGTCGGCGAATGACAAACAAGACAAAAACAAAACGAGACTAAAGCTTAAACTGACCTTTCCTCGTCCCTCAATGAACAGTATACACTACACAGAAAACTCCTTTCATCGCCTGAATCGATATATATATATATATATATCCACTGGGATTAAATTTGAGGGAGGAATATTAATGCAAGTCTATATATATTATTAGTGTATGTTAATTCGGATTAGGCCAAAGGTATTTAAGGACATGGATTTGAACTTATCTCGTTTCTGACGAAGGGGCTGTGCCCCGAAACGTATCTTTATCTTTACAACATGTATTTATTCATTTGAAGTTTAATAAAATTTATTTTCTATTTGAAGCTTTATATATATATATATATATATAGACAATGACATAGAAAATGTTGTCTTTTCTATGAATTGCTCAGAGCCATTTTTTTCTATAACAGATATACCGATATTTTTATCATTAACAACGAACACATAATCTAATGCTGGCATGACTGCTGCTTTATACTGAGAACTGACCGAGTCACAGAGAATGTTGAAATGGCACCCTTTTTTATTTCCACGGTTTTTGTGTTCTGGATAAATGAAGTTAATACCACTGATCTGTACTAAGACGGGATAGCGCATCTATAGTACACAAAAGTGAAGCCGAAAGTCATCGGTCACCACCCAATTCAAGGGACCCACTTTTGTATAGATTTGTATTACAGATGATAGTTTTTCGTGTTTTTTGCCTTGGCTACGTTTTTGACCAGGCCAATTTTACAATCACAAAGATAGAAGCATACAAGAAGAATTTTGAGCAAAAAATTTGGAATATTATGGCTTTATAACGGCACGAAACGGGATTTACAACTGTGAAGGAGTGGAGAGCCTCAGACTTTTGTTTATCAACACGAGCTTGTTTCGCTACTTTCATACAAAATCAACTCAACATATACAAGAATTACCGTTACTGGACGAATATTCTCAGGAAATTTGAAGAAATGAAGCGTACAGAGGTTAGTTTTAAAATACCTTGACGCTACTTTTATAATTATATGAAAATTAAGCAACAGTTTTAAATGTAAACTTTGTCAAGAACATTCCCTTGACTTTATCGAGAAGTTTTATATGTTTTAAAGTAGGAAGACAAGTAAGTGACAATCAGATATTTTTTAATCCAAATTAACGATGACTCAATATGTTATTTTAATTCATATAATTATAAAAGTAGCATCAAGGTATTTTAAATCTAACCTCTGTACGGTTTTGTCACGCAATGTGTAACTGCTTCATTTCTTCAAATTTCCTGAGAATATTCGTCCGGTAACAGTAATTCTTGTATATTTTGAGTTGATTTTGTATGAAAGTAGCAAAACGAGCTTGTGTTGATAAACAAAGTCTGAGGCTCGCCACTCCTTCAAAGTTGTAAATCCCGTTTCTCAGCATTATAAAGCCATAATACTCCAAATTTTTTGCTCAAAATTCTTCTTGTATGCTTCTATCTTTGTGATTGTAAAATTGGCCCGGTCAGAGACGTAGCCAAGGCAAAAAACGTAAAAAACTACCATCTGTAATACAAATCTATACAAAAGTGGGACCCTTGAATCGGGTGGCGGCCGGTGACTTCCGGCTTCACTTTTGTGTACTATAGATGTGTTATCCAGTCTTAATACAAATCAGTGATTAATACAAGCTATATTTACATATTAAATTAACTTTCTATTAAATTGCATGTCTAAATATTTTGCCAAATTTTTTAAAGGTGTGTGTTTGTATGAGCATTTTAGAAATACCAAATTAATTGTCAATCAACAATAGTAAACATGTAATTCACTTTCTTCAGTGGTTGGCACTGGGCAGGGAC